AGAAGTAACTATAGTGGTAATCTTCATTTATTTGGCCATTGGTATATTCTTCAAATATTTTAAGTTAAAAATCATTCCCACTGTTGCTGTGTTAGAGACACGACAAAATGTTAAAAATGTGTTGGAAACTTCCACCGCTGTACTTCAAACAATCCAAACCATTGTACGAAAGTAGTTCAAATAAAATTTATTAAACCTTTCAAAAATTCATTTAATAACAAGATTTTTGAATCGCAGTATTTGGGACCTTATTCTTTGCCTCTTTTTTTTATTTCATTATAAGTTTGAATTTATTCCAAAGTATTTTCAATGCCTGTTGTATATAGAGTTCACTTTAAGGTAAGAATTTTTCATTATACAATTTACTTTAAGATAGACACATTTATTATCAAGTTTTATTAGTATAAGATATATTCTATGTAAATTACTTAAACATACATAACATTTACTACTGAAACAAAATAACATTAACATACTGAACTAGTTTCTTGAAATTTGCTGACACTTAAGGTGGAATATATAATAACTATATCTGACATCTATATAAATTGTACAAGCTTATGATCAGGTACAAATCATAAACGGTGGAACATGCTTTGGCGGCAGTTTTTGGTAAAATAAGTCCGTTCAAAAAGCTATCCTGTTTTTGAATTGACTTTTTAAAATTTCTAGCTGAAACAGGGAAGGGGGTGTAAAATCATACAGAAGTTTCGTCCCACTTCTTTCAATAGTTTGATATGTCCTCTTATAATCTCTTTCCCCGTTTCGCATACTGTTACAAATTAACGCATTTGATTTTTACTTTAGACTATGTTCTATTTAACAGAATTGTGATGTTATTTTGAAAATGTGGACGAATAAGGAACTTAAACTTTTCCGTAAAACGATCGGAAGTTCTGTTTTTAAAACTCCTTTTCTAACCAATCATTTAAAGTTTTCTATGAAGTACAATGAATGCTGCAGCCTGATGTCAAGTATTTTAAATTAAATTTCTCGAATTTGCAGTTATAAAATATACGATCTTTTTTTATATTATTAACAAAAATTGGAAAGATATGCTGAAATGTGAAATGACGCAGAACGATTTGACTGTCAATTTTTTTTTTTATCTTATACAATAATCAAAGTAAGAGAATGACAGCATATATATCTCTCGCCTCTCTCTCTCTCTCTCTCTCTCTCTCTCTCTCTCTCTCTCTCTCTCAATTTAGTTTTGTAGCTGTACGATATTCTATCAAATCACTATCGTATTCCTGTATCAAGTCTTCATTGTTTATTTTCCTTTCTCTCTCTCTCTCTCTCTTTCAATTTAGTTTTGTAGCTGTACGATATTCTATCAAATCACTATCGTATTCCTGTATCAAGTCTTCATTGTTGATTTTCTTCTCTCTCTCTCTCTCTCTCTCTCTCTCTCTCTCTCTCTCTCTCTCTCTCATTTTAGTTTTGTAGCTGTACGATATTCTATTAAATCACTATGATAATCGTATTCCTGTATTAAGTCTTCATAGTTTATTTTCAGCTCTATCTCTCTCTCTCTCTCTCTCTCTCTCTCTCTCTCTCTCTCTCTCTCTCAATTTGGTTTTGTAGCTGTACGATATTGTATTAAATCACTATCATATTCCTGAATGAAGTCTTCATAGTTTATTGTCTTATCGGTAAAGTCTTTTAACAGATTGTTTATTTCGTCTTCAGAGAGCTGGTCGTCTGCATTTGTGAGCACGTGACGTATATGGTCTGTACTTACTTCGCCGATACCATTGATATCAAAGGATTTGAAAGCCTCGCGAACTGTCTTCGCCGAATCCATTTCCTCAAATTTTATCGACAAAATCTTTAAGAACTCTTCAAAATGAATCCATTCATCTTCTACAACAGATTTGTTCATACATGTTACTCATAATTTGTATTCAAATATAACACAGCTATTTAATTTGAAAAAAAGTTTCATATATAACATCTTATTTTTTTTACACCAAAAAAAAAAAAACATTGCGATCTTAAATTAAGGTTTTGATTCCTAATTATTCATTATATAATCGAGATCAGGAATCTTGTCTAGAACAAGTTATAGATATTTCATATCTTTTGAATAGTTTTGTGGTGTTTCGTAAATTATACCATAGCTTTTGTTGAAACCCCCGGCAATAACCTCACGAGACGAAGTCGAGTGAGGTTGCCGAGGGGTTTCAACAAAAAACTATGGTATAATTTACGAAACACCACAAAACTAACCAAAATATATGAAATATTTGTTTTAACCTATTGCATATGTTGTTGTTTAAAAATGTATATTTCATATATTTTTGTTTATTAACTTCAAAAATAATTTTGATAAGAATCGGTCAAATTACCCTTTTAGGACCTTACACATTAAGCTCCGCCTACTGTATAAAATACGCACGGGCTTCTGAAACAGCGGGGAAATCAGTTGGACAAGATTTTTCGACAGCGATGGATGTACATCTACATTGGTGACGGGTAACGTTACAGACTAAAAACTGTTGAAGGAATTATATGTTCTGTATGTATATGGACGCAAGATATAGTTTGAAAGATTTCTGGAACCCAGATTTAAAGTTGAACTGCAAAGGGTTAGTTTTTTTTTTTTTATTTTATCAAAATATTTTAAATTTTTTAAAGTTTTTTGTATTAATTTATAATTCTGTGGAAATTTAATTCACAAGAATCTTTCTGAGAGTTTGGATGAATCATTCCATGGTTTAATTTGTATCAGAAGCCCAAGTTGTACATTTAATTTAATCTAATTAAAAAGGATTTCAAAATGATCACGATTAAAGATCATTAAAAATCACATGTAGACTATAGATAATTTAAACAAAAGTTCACCTTTATTTAGAGTAACCAGACGCTTTCTATTCTTAACGGCCCAACATTATAGTTATTACTTAAGCAAATCGTTAAATTAAGATGTATATAAAATCGGATACGGATCCAGGATTTTGAAAAGGAGGGGAGGTCTAGCCATCCAATATTTGGAGTAATAATACGAAATATCTATGCATTTACCATATATAAAGCTTCTTGAAAGGGACATGCCTTCCCCCTCCCTCCCCCTTAAAAAGCCGCCACGGCAAATTTCAACCTTTACATGTAGCTATACAGTTGAGCCTAAGGGACTACAATCCAAGTATACATCTCAATAACCGAAAATCGAATTATATTTTCAAGTATAATATAATAATATATTTATATATACTTTTTTTTTTAAACTTTGTTCTTGAATCGGATTTTCGTTCATTTAAAAATATAGGACAACGGAGTTGGTGTATGTGGGTTCGATTCCCACCCTAGGCATTCATTTATATCGGCTGGTGCAAAGCGGGCAGTTTAGCTTAGTGGCCCCACACTGACTCTGTTGTTCCTATTTAAAAAAATTCAGGCGGCCTCGGATAGGCCTTGCTATCTTCCTTTTTTTCTTTTCGAATACCAAATACAACAAAACCATGGTATAATTGTGAAAATTATACCATAGATAGCTATGGTATAATTTTCGGTTATTGAGATTTATACTCTTGTTGCATTCCCATAGGTTACATTGTACAGCTATAGGTTAATTATACTTACTCAATACTTTAGAGACAAGAGTAGTTAATCGATGTTCAAATCTTACAAATCAATTAAACAGAAACCATTCAAGGTAAAAACAAATCTAAGGGAATTGCATTAACTTCGAACGGAACGAACGAGACGATATCCACTTCCACATATTTTAGTTTCTAGCGAAATTTTCTTTTCATTCCTGAAAATATTGTTTTGTGGTTCAACATTTTCCACAAAATTGACAACAGGTGTAATGTCATCAATTGCGGAATATTTATCTGACCTTCAAACGGTTCCTACAACGGTATCTTAAATCAACTGATCTGACAACCAAGCATGAAGGGATATGATTTTTGTTTCGAATTTGCATCCATATATTCGAACATATTTATATTTTTTTACCGCAAATCGGAAAGATAATACAATAATTGTTGAAATTATCGAGTACGATTTGACTGACAATTTTAAATCTAACAGTGACGGTTTCAGGGGAAGTGTAGAGGACGTATCTCACATCTAATTATCATTGAGATGGTCGTAATTATAAATTAACTGTTATAAATTAATAAAACTCTGATAGTTTTGAAATTCTAATGGATTTTCTACCCCAGGAATAGATTAACTTAGCTGTATTTAGCAAAACCTTTCGGAATTTTGGGTTCTCAATGAGTACTTTAGTTGGCCTTTTGAACTTTTTCTATTCGAGCGTCACTGATGAGTCTTTTGTAGACGAAACACGCGTCTTGCGTACACAATTTAAGCCTGGCATCTATAAATAGTTTATGAAAACACACACCAATCTTCATGCAGTTATAAAGGCATATTAAAATATTAAGTGCCATGCAATGCCAGGAAAATGACGTAACCGGTTTGATGAGAGATGTATATAAATTATAGGCATTTTATCTTCTGTTCTCTGCATACCATACGCAACATTCTGGATTATTGCATAAAGATAGCACACTCGGTCGATTTAGAGCTTGAAATTATGCATAGGCAATTGTCCTCTGTTGATAACTGATCTCTTGGTCTCTAGGTCTGTATTGTATTACTTGTGAGTAATATGACATCTATAAAGTTATTTTTTCAATTATTTACAATTTGAAGTGTATACATGTAGCACACCGTACATAATCTATTATTTTTGATAAGTCGATGACACGTCTAGCGAACCCCATAATGTGCATGCATAGTTTATGTTTTTTCGACAACTTTCTTTTAAATTTTAGTTAAGCATTCGACTATTTATATTTCTTCTCGTAATAGCCGAATCGGATGTTATAAAATCAATTAATCGAAGATGTGGATTCTACTTAATGAATATCCCACAATTCCTTTCATTATTATTTTTCTAATTTCTGATCACAATTATGGAAATAGTTGGCATTGTATAGTCCTCTTTAGAGTGTAAATATAATATACTAGATTTATATACTGACCGTCAGTATCAACAGCCTTAATCATTAACTTCAGCTCTTCGTCATTTGGTGCAGATCCTTGAAGTGCTTTCATAATGCTCCTTAACCCTCTCAAGTTAATCGACCCTTCAATTGCGAACAGATCGAATGCTTGCTCAAATTCTAAAATTCATAAAGTCAAATTCAATTCAGTTTCAAGCTTGCCATTTATTTAAAGACGTACACATATTGCTAAAATAAATTAAAAAAAAAAATCATTCCTTTTCTGCGTGAAGTGTGGTTACAAAAAAAAGTGGTACATATCTCTAGCGAAATGAATATAAACAGATCCAGGATTTTGATGTCAGGGGAGGGGATGCTCCTGAGAATTATTAGTTAGAGAACCTAATTTTGACGCAAAATTAGGTGTAAATTTAACTTAACACATATTGCTTTCTTTCTTTCTGGGTAGGGACAGGGGAAGCGCCCCAGCCTGAATCCGCACCTGATTAATGATGAAATAGGCATATTTATATAGTATCTCCACTGATCATGTAATAAGTACTCAAAACAAATTTCTTTCAATGATTTAAAAGCGTATTCTTGTTTGTATTATTTCACATTTGGTATACCGGCGCCTTTTATAGTTTAATTACTATAGGGTATAAGTTTTAATTTGCTCATGATTGAAGGTGACCTTTATTTGTTTGCGACCTCGTCCTTTGGTCTCTGTTGTATAGATGTTTTATTGGCAGTCATACCACATTTCCTTATTTCTATATGTATATCAAAGGCTAACCTCCAAACAGGGTTGAATGTGACCTTTTAAGATGTTTGCTCTCTCGTCCTTTTGTCTCTGATGGAGATTTGGTCTCATTGGCAGCCATACCACATTGCCTTATTTTTTACATGTTTATAATGACTAGGTATGTGCATGTCCCAAGTTAGGAAACTCGTCAGTCTGTTACTTGACATATCATCGTGCAATTTAATTAATTTTTTGTGGGTATTCAGTGGCGATTTCAGGGGTGTAAGCCCTTATCCCCCCGCCCCCTTTCGACAAAAATATTATATCATTTTTCGAATCAAATCGTTAAAATATTTCGTCTCGCTACGTTTGATACTATTTATAAATTTTCAGGCGATAACGCTCTTCCCCTTTTTTTCTCTTGCACCATGGCTACGACCCTGATATTGAAAGCAGATATTTGAAAGTCTCTGTCTCTGTTAAATTTATACACTATAGTAGTATAGACTCGGAGCAATTTAAACTGAACTTATACACTTCTGATCACTCCTTTACAATCTGATTGAAATACAGACCCTGTGTCCACGTTTGCCTTGCAAGGCTTGTAAGCGAAGCGTGGGCACAGAATCTGTATTTTAATCAAATTCACTTCTCTATTGAGGACCGTAAGTTGACCTCGAGATGTCTCTTGTGTTTGTGTCTTGTTTGGTTTGTTTGTTTTCATTGTCACATAACCCCACATCTATTTTTTATGTTAATTCTTATTTACCGGAATCAACTACATAGTATCTGTCGGCTATTGCAAAGTTAGAAACGACTTATGTTATTTACCTATGAGTAAGTAATCTTCACTATTGGTAGCCTGAAATAAATAAGTTTGATATATAACTCTAAAATCTAACAATAAAAGAGGTAGGATCAATTTCGTTATTTTTACAGATTTTGCAAATTTTGATTAAATTTTTCTATCTCAAAAATGTAAAAGACATCCTTAGTAATTCATTCTGGTTAGCGAAGTCATTCAATGCAAAAAGAATTCAAAACATGAAAATTTTGCATTTTCAATTCAAATGTCGCCAACTAACTTTTAGTGCTAGATAGCATATGGTAATATACATAATAGTTGAAAATGTATAAATCATAGGATAAACTCGTTACTATTTACTTTTCAGTAAATCTGACAACTTTTAGATTTTGACGTTGTGAGTGAAACAAAAACATAGGAAATGTGCCCTACGTCTTAATGAATTCCTATTAATTATTAAATCCAGATTTAATATCATCTATTAAAACTGCGATACGCTCATACGGTTGATTGATGGTTGTTTAACGTTCAGCAGCAAATGTTACAGACGTTATGTCGATACCATGTCAACACACTTCTCTTTGCCCTATACCTTCAAACTGAGTCACAATTATAACGTGATTACCTAGGAAGACATGTCACCCTATTCCGACAATAAATAAGGATTCCGAACTGGCCAGTACTGAGGGCCAGTGTTAACTTTGCTCCTACCTACAAAAACCACGTGCACTGAGGAGAAACAGTAAATGCTAATTTTTAAGACTTTGGATTTGTCAGGCTTGAGATTGAAGTCTTCTAAGCTTATGGCTAATATAGATTTCATCTTGTTATTTTGAAAGAAACTAAGAATTACTAGTATGCAATTGTTGAAAAATAGGCGTCCAATTTTAAATGTTGACATCGTACTTTTTCAACTCTAAAAGTCGATTGTTTCATATACTCCCACAGTCAGTCCCTTAAGAAAAACAAAACAAAAACAAACAAACAAAAAAATAAAATAATTCTACAACTTGAACAATCAATAACAAAATCTACCCGACATATATTAATAGAGGGTCTGGATGGGGTTTACAGAATTTAGAACAAAGGCCGGACTCTCCTCTTTTGATAAGTAGCCTCAATCAAATAACAAGATAAGAATACTTATTGGTAGAATAATGATTAAAGCTAACTTACCATGATCTACAATGTTTCCAATCAATTTTTTGAAGAAGGAAGTAAATTAAGTAATACTTTCACTTTCGATTTAACATTATGAAGGATGCAGCGTACTACCAATTTTGAAAGCAATTCAAATAAAACAACGGTGGACTATGTATAGTTTTTTATATAGAGTCCCGCGGTTGCGACCAATTGAGTAAAAAAATATAACACAATATACAATTGCAGTATATGAAATAAATTGAAGGTTACTCCTGTTCAGCCTACTGTTAAATGAAATTAAAAAAATAATTCATATGAAGTATAAATTAGATTATAAAAATAATCTCGAAAATCAGCTTTGCTTTATTTGATAATTAAACTTTGATAAATTTTTTTTTCAGAAACCTGTAACATATATTAATGTTGAAATCAGATTGCGACTTAAGGTAGTCTTGGCTGAACTCAAGTCGATAGGTTTTTTTTTCTTACCCAGATTTGGTATCTACCATACTATTTTATCATTATAAGATCATAATAAAAGGTGTCACCACTCTTCTTTTTTAGCAAGAGAATATGTAAAATTCCCTTATTGTATGAGGCTTGTATAGAAAAATTAAACACAAATATGTGAAAAGTAAGAAAACTGGAGAGCATTTTGTATTACATCCCAGCTCCTTTGTTCTACCAGGGGTGATCTGAGCCGGATCATCCCTACCAGATCAACCCAGCTTAATGTTCTTTGTTTTGCATGCTTTTCTTTGTTTTGCAACATTTTGGCGGGGATGCCTAATCCACAATAAAACTTAGAATTATTCTTATAAAGGATAGAATAAAGACACACTTTCAAAATTTATGTAGAAAAATCCATTGTCTATGCTGGGATTCGAACTCAAGACCTTTAGCATATCAACCCACGACACATACCCCTACACCAGGACGACTAAATACTAGTTCTCAGTAATTTAATATATTTAAAGGCAGCAAGATATTTTCATAAGTGGGGCGAGTTGGCAGACCTTTATTCAGTGGGATTTTAACTCTTTTCATAAATAAGGCGAGTTGTCAGACTGATTGTTTAATGGGATTTTACCCTTTTTCATAAGTGGGGAGAGTTGGTAAACAAGAGTGGGGCAATTTTTTAGAAAGTGGCGATTTAGTGTGGGCCGATTGGCCAGTGGGGCGAGTTAGCATTGTTTTATATTTAAACGTCGTGTTCGGGGGTCATAAAGGGTATATATTATATATTATTAATTAACTACACTGTTATTGGACTTATTATGATGAAAACTGCCTATGCAATATAAAGGTGTCAACTCGGCCAATACAGAATAACTCGGCCAATATAGATTTTTTTTCTGTATTGGCCGAGTTCTGATCCGGCCAATACAGGATTTCGGAACGTCTCTAGTTTTTAGATCGAAAGTCACGATAAACACAAACTGAAAGTAAACAGTTGTTTGGAAGACGCAGTTTTCATTTACTCACCATAAACATGCTGAAACGTTCAGTATGGCATATATTTCAGGCTAAAGAAGGTCACATTCATTTAAAAAGCATTTTGAAAGCAGACGATGGAATTATTTCAGGTTTGGGGAACGAGTAGATTATCACAAAGTTCATTTCTTGTCGACCTCATAATTTCACGATGGAACAAATCGATTTACTCAATTACTGTTTACTTTCGCTTCTCATGTTTTGTAAACTGTCATTAATTTTAAACCCGAACCAGGCATATGAATTCTGGAAGGGTGACCTGTAATTGTGCAAATCTTCGTTCTTTGGTCAGTTGGCTTATGGATAGTTGTATCATTTTCAACTCCTACATTATTTTTTTTTTTTAGATATATTCAATTTGTTTCTGCATAACACATGCAATGGCAGTACCTTTCCAATTACTATTTATGTGTTGTGTCTAAATTTAAATTATAACACTTTATAGTGACTGGAAAGGGTAGAAAAATTCATCAGATGAGAAAATGCTGAAGACACCTGGAAACGGCACCAGATCATTAGATATTGCATCTTATAAAAAGAAACTGTGATTTTGATAGTTCCACTTCAAGGTAAAATGTTTATCTCTTGTGAAATGAAATTAAAAAAATATTGTAACACTGTAGTTAATTAATAAAGATACTATTACGTGTATTTCTGTATTGGCCTTGTTATTGGTCCTCGGCCAGCTGTATTGGCCTTCGGCTTCGCCTCAGGCCAATACAGCAAGCCTCGGACCAATAACAAGGCCAATACAGAAATACTCACGTAATAATATCATAGTATTATATAAAGTATATTGTAATGGTTGTGTGGCGTTCTAAACTAGATTTTATGAATTGTAAATGGTTTTTCGTATAATCTAAAACAGCTGGGATGTAAAATAGTTATCTTACACTGACACACCGCGTCCTCATAGGATAACTATTACAGAATTGAATGCTTCTTTCTGTAATCTTATTAGGGTGTAAAAGCGTTGACCGAAGCACAGTTTGCAAGGTACGTGTATTAAGCGCGGAAGCATTGTAAACAAGCATATGCATAAAATTAAAAATAATAGCAAATGTTCGTTTAATTTACTATGAATTGTTGTGAAGTTGCCACGAGAAGCACGTGCTGTCACGAATGTTGAACGTTGAGAAATACAATTTGATATTGGAATGCCTCGCGATTGCTTTCAACCAATCAAAATCACAGATTCTAAAAGATACTGCTGAAGCCCGCCTCCGTGTGCGGAATTTTTTCGCTGCGTTGAAGACCGAATGGTGGCCTTGGACTGTTTTCTGCTCTGTGGTCGGGATGTTGTCTCTTTGACATACTCCCCGTTTCCATTCTCAATTCTATGTAATGCTCAATTCTATGTAATGTTATTATTTTAAAACAACATTCGAAGAAAAAGCTTTCATATAGTATTTTCAGGGGAAATTACCACATATTGTTTTTTCTCGTTAAACAGTAAATTCTAGTTGTATTACCTCCCATGTAACACGAACTATTTAAATTCCTGTAACCAAAACACTATCTCTCCATATATGTGTAGACGAAACGCGTGTGAGGCATACCAAATTATAAGCCTGGTATCTTTGATGAGTTTTATAAAGTTTCCCTGCGATACGAAATTTATCTTTATATAAGCATGTGCACGGAGCTTCATTGTACATTTGTATGCTATAACCTTTAAACAGACTTATTAAGAAGGGATATAGTTACGATACTGTTGTCAGGTCATTAAAGATTGCATATTTTGGCTTTAATATTGATTCACTTATAGGGTCTTTGCATCGGAATTAAACATATTTATTCTAAAACCAGTTGTTGGCATGACACGGGTTATGTTCTTCTCATATATTTTATGATGGTATAATACTAAACCCCTAACAGGAGGGATTGTACCTGATATTCATATGATGAAGACATAATCTTTCAATCAGTTTAATTGAGGTCTGGAGCTGGCATGTCAGTAACTGCTAGTAGTCTGTTGTTATTTATGTATTATTGTCATTTTGTTTATTTTCTTTTGTTTCCTATTCTGACATCGGACTCGGACTTCTCTTAAACTGAGTTTTACAGTGCGTACTGTTGTACGTTTGTTTTTTCTACATTGGCTAGAGGTATAGAGGGAGGGTTGAGATCTCAAAAAACATGTTTAACCCCGCCGCATTTTTGCGCCTATTCCCAAGTCAGGAGCCTCTGGCCTTTGTTAGTCTTGTAGCATTTTTAACTTTAGTTTTTTGTGTATAATTTGGAGTTTAGTATGACGTCAATTATCACTGAACTAGTATACATATTTGTTTAGGGGCCAGCTGAAGGACGCCTCCGGGTGCGGGAGTTTCTCGCTGCATTGCAGACCCATTGGTGGCTTTCGGCTGTTGTCTGCTCTATGGTCGGGTTGTTGTCTCTTTGACACAGTCCCCATTT